TGACTTGATGCACCAATGGTTGGAGGACCCCTGGCTGGCATCTGATTTCTGTCTTGACTTCCTCACGTGTAACACTGGGCCAAGGTAGCCTCAGCACAGTGGGGAGGATGGAAAGGGACAATGGCAGAAGCGCTGAGCTCCAAGCCTGACCCAGGGGAGGCCAGCCAGCATCTGCCATGGCTGTTAGCACTGGTGTTGTTACCAACCGAAGGCTGGATACAGCACTCTGTCACCTGGAGTGGAGAAGAGGGGGGCCCATAAGGACCAGACTGCCCCAGCAAGAAGGTGACCCCTTGCTTGACCTCAGTGGTTGGCCAAGATTTTCTGGAAAGGCCTGGCTACTAGCTATTTTCAGCATTGAGGACCGAGAGGCAAATCAGTATTATGTCAGAAGAGAAAACGGAATTTCCATGACTTTTTGTTGATGGAATTCAAGATATAATAACTGAATACTTTCCTTTGTAATACAGGTCTACTAATGAGAAGAATGGAATTGGGACAGGGGATGCCGGATTAACAGTTCACTTGGGTTCAGAGACGTCACACAAGCTGGCAGTGAGCAGGATATGGCCCGCAGTCCCCTGACCCCTACGAGAACAGGTGTTACGTTGGTCATGGTGGGAGCCGGGTGATGGGATACTGGAGTTAGTTATATTGTTCTCTCCTTGATGAAGGTTTGAAACTTCTCATGGTTAAAAGGCTTTTGGCTCCCTGCTAGCTCCCTGCCTGACGGTATTACACATAGAGCAAGGAAATCGAGGGGAGAAACAGCACATGAGGCAGTGGCATGAAGACCAACTCCATGAGCCCCGGTTCTGGGGTCCTTGTCAGATGTCAGCTACCAGCACTGCTCCCCTCCCCAGAAGAGGTGGGCCTAGGGTGTGCACCTCCCCCACCCCACTAACCAGGGCAATTTTGTCCCTGACCAGTTAGTTTCATCCACAGAGCCTGAACGAGTGTCACACGACATCTCAGAGCACGAGTCACCACATCCACTGAGCTCAGACTTTTCAGGGCTGTGCTCAGGCCGGCCAGATACAGGAGCGAGGACAGGGGTGCATGTGCACACACACGCATCAGTAATGCATACGCGGACCTGACCAGCACAGAGTCTGGGCTCAGTCACCAAGGAACAGCTGGCGGCCCTTCTCAGGGCGCTGATAGGGCAGCCACCCAGCTGTGAGCAAGACAGGCTTCTGGAAGACCCAGACCAGCCACTAGACCTCAGGCGCACAGCAACCCAAGCAGGGATATCAGCGTAGCTACGGACAACAGGGACACACGCACCAATGCGACACATGCCTACCCTAGGACTTCATGGAGGGAAAAGTGGGAAAGCTCGACCACCCCTCAAGCTCACCTCCTGACCAAGCCAGCCATGACTCGACAGAGGCAGACGCTCTGGCCAAGCAAGGGTCTGGGGGCCCTGGCTCCTGCACCCTCGGGCATGGCCATGGCCGTCACCCCCACCCCTCATCCTTGGCTCCTCCCCCGGAGAGCCTGCGGCCTGGCTCTCTCGGCTCCACCAGCAACAGCAAGAGAGGTTTTCCATGTTTCTCATCAGCTCGTTAATGATTTTCGAGCTTAAGTTACTCAGGCCAGGCCCCAAAGCCACTCTGGACTCGGAAACTTGTGACCCACAGCTCAGCCAGCTCCAGTCTGCTCCCAGGGAAGTGCCCTCTAGGTTAATAGCTCTTCCCAAGGGGCCCGAGGCTGCCTGGGCAAGAGGTCAGAGGGGCAGCTGGCTAACCTTTGCTTCCGACCCTAAGCCCTGACTTGAAACTCCCTACTCCACCCTGTTCTTTCCATCCATCCCTTCCCCCAGCAAACCCTATTGTCCCTCCATTCAAAAGCCTCTGTGTCTTCATTGTAAAGGTGCAACCTGGCAGACATGGTAAGGTTTATCACAACCTTGCAGACAGAAAAAGAAATGGGTCCTGAAAACAAGGAATTCAGCTCGAGGCTTGTTTCACAAGATGGTGGCCTGAGCTCATGGGGAGATCTTTCTCTAAGATCACACCTTTAAAAATGGCTGCTAGAAAAGGAGCCACAGCAGAAGCCACAGCCTAGAACCCGTGGGATGGAGGCTACAATTCTGGGCAGGCTGCCCCATCCCCACAGCCCCCGACTCTGGCCTCAGACCTCAGAGGAAAGACAGTGGACAGGAGTGGGAAGTGCTCTGGCTTTTCTGTACTTTTAAATGAAAAAAACAAACTCTAGCTCATCTGACTCCTGTATAAGGAGGACAAGTTGCTGAAATGAAGCAGCTAAAACATTTCTGTACCAAATTATGATGTGTATTTATTTTCTACCTCTCTGTAAGCTGCAAAATTTTATCTAGAACCATTAGGGAAACGCAAAAGGGACATTTGGCTGGCTCAGTCAGTAGAGTTTGCAACTCTTGGTTTTAGGGTTTGAGTTCAAGCCCCATGTTGGGTGTAGAGATTACTTAAAAATATTTAAAAAAAAAAAAAAAGATTAAAACACACAAACAGAAAAACAGATACCAGTGGGGGTTCCAGAAAATGAAGACTCCACTAACAGAAAATTTATAACAGGTCTTAATTATACCCTCATACCCTATCACATTTTTACAATTAAAATTGAGGCTGTCCTCACTTGGCCTGGGAGTGGCATGACTTAGGTCTAGTGACTCACAGATGCCCTGGAAAACTGGCAATGGACACCAAAGGTCCAGTCCCGATTCTGTGTGACCTTGGGCAAAGGATTCCATTTCCTTGTGACTGAGTTTCCACCAGAAAGGAAATGACTGGTCCTGACTAGGATGACTGTGCAGAGTCAGAACATGTACCAAGAAATCCTGCAGAATAGGAGAGCATGATACGACCCAGTACTGCTGAGAAGCTTAAGTAGGAGAAAAAACAGAGATGGTCATAAAAATGGGGGGCATGGGAGGATTTTAAAAAAGGAGGAGGGGGAACAAAAACAAAAACACACAGTTCCCAGTGACAGCCCCACGTCCCAGAAGAAAAGACCCAGTCAAGAATCAAGGGCCTTTAGCAAGGGTCAGCAACTGATGAGGGAACTGGGCATCTGCACACAAGAGAACAATGCTGGACCTCTACCTCATACCATATACAAAAGGTAATCTAAAATGAATTAAAGGCCACTGAGAGCTGAAACTGTAAAAAATCTTCAAAGGAAACATAAGCATAAATCTTGACCTTGGATTACACAGTGGTTTTTCAGATATGACACGAAAGACTCAAGCAACAAAAAACACACATCTTAGGCATCATCGAAATTAAAAAATTTGTGCTCCAAAGGACATCTTAAGAAAGTGAAGGCAATCTCCAGAATGGAGTTACAGTCCGTGTATCTGATAAAGGACCTCCATCTAACTATACAAAGAACTCGTGCAACTCAGCAATAAAAAAAAGACAGATGACCCACACAGCATCTAAACAGATACCAAAGAAGACATGCGAATGGCCAATAAGCACATGCAGAGAGGCTCAACATCATTAGCCATCAGGGAAAAATGCAGATCAAAAACCACAGAGAGACCCTACTTCACACCCACTAGAATCCTCTCATCAAGAAGGCAGGTAATTAGCAACCACCAGCAAGGATGTGGGGAAACTAGAGCCCTCCTGAGCTGCTGCTGGGAATGTGGAAACAGCCTGGCTGTTTCCTAAAAGTTAAACACAGAGTTCTATACGGCTCAGAAATTCCTCTCCTAGGTATATACTCCAGAGAAATGAAAACCTATGTGTATGTAAAAACTTGTACAACTATGTTCATAGCAGCACTGTTCATAACAGCCAGAGAGTAGAACAACTCAAAGATCAATCAACTGGTGAGAGGATACACAAAATATGGTAGGTACAGCCATAGAACGGAATAGTACAGCTCTAAAAAGGACTGAAGTATGGATACATGCTCAACATGGAAGACCCTAGAAAACATTAAACTAGTTTAAAAAAAAAAAAAAGCCAGCCACAAAAGGCCAGTGTGATTCCATATACATGATAGGCCCAGAATAGGTAAATCTATGAAAGGAGATTCACGGTTGCCTAGATCCAAGGAAGTTGAGGGGGAGCCGCTGGAGAGGGAGGGTGATCGCTAAAGGGAATAGGGTTTCTTTGGGGGGCAAGGAAAATCATGTCAAATTGAATGTGCTGATTCTGTGGATTCACTTAAAACCACTGAGCTGTATACTATACACGGGAACACTGTATGGTCTATGAACTGTATCTCAATAAATCTGTTACCTGCTGCCCCATCCTCCCCCTAAACAGAAGAGGAACCAGGAGCCTGCTGTACTCTGGAGGAACTCACCTACTGTCCTAACATAACCATGACCAGAGAGCCCCTTCCACCATCTCAAGTGTCTTGGTTTATATGATAAATTTCTACCACTGCCCTATCACTACATGGTATCAGTCAGGTGGCTTTGCCCCTTTAGGCTTCAGTATCCTCCTCTGTAAAACAAGGTCTATGCAGTTCTGATCATCTTTGACCCTAACACTGTATTCCCCAAAAGCTCCACTTTACAAGTTGTATAATCCTGTGTGGCTGGTCACAGGGCTTCCCAGTGCTTTGGAAGATAAACTTAAGTTAGCAAAAGGCAGAGATGACTAGGTCCCAGAAACAGAGGCAAGATGAAGACTAGTTCATGAGTTTACTCAATTAGTAACTGAGTTACTTAAATTTCCCCATAATTAAGCCACTAAGAGAGGTGATCCAACCTTCCCCATGCAGGCAAAATGCCTGAACAATCCCCTCTACACATGGAAAGATGAACATTTAAATGGGGGGCCCCCAGACAAGAGACAAAGTCCCCGGGAAAATTGGCAAATTTGGCAGTAGTTAACCAAGGTCTTCTCTAAATGGGACCTGGTTAAGTCCTCCCAAGGCCTGCTATCATGACTGTCAAGGTCATCTGATCACATGGTGGGACGCTCATTTCCTAGTCCTCCTTTTACCCAAGATTGCTGAGGGAAAAAAATTATATAAAAGAAGCTCAAGGGCAAAAAAAAAGAAAAAGAAAAAAAAATCATCTTGTCTCATCCCTTTTATACTTGTGACAATGTACCTGGGAACAGTTTTTTCTCTCCCTCCCTCCCAATGGTGTAGACCCAGGTCTGATGGTGGGTCCTACACATGGACTATGCTGTATACATGGCAAATGCAGAGACTGGAAAACCCATCTCTGGGCACTGTGGCGGCAGGTCCTTAGAAACAAGAGTCAAGGTGAGAGAAGCAGAAGGCACAGAATAAATCCCATTCCCATCAATCCATCCAAGAATCAGAGAGACGATGCTCACCAGGGTCTCTGAGGAGGGAGACCAACAGGAAGACAGAATGGACTCAAACCACCTACATCCATTCAGCAGTCCTTGTCAAGGAGAAGGTTAGGGGTGAGCCAGGGCCTTCCCTGGAGGCAGGGGAGTGGCAGAAGTATACAGTGGCACCAAGATACCCAAAGAACTAGCAGGGTTTCAGAGAAGATGTCCCCGCTATGTGCCTCTTTAGAACAGCAGGCAAAGAACAAAGAACCATTCAAAAGCTGGAGGCCAAGAGGAAGGGAGAGAGGAGCCCCTGGCTTTCTGCATGCCAGAGACCGCACCCCCGGGTTTCTGCTGGTTACTGGTCCGTGGTTTTCACAGACTGGGCCAAGTCCCTCCTGGTCACAGCTTGCCAGGAGAGGCCACAGCTTATAGTGGTGCAATCTCTACATCCGAGGGAATCCACAGGGCTGGGGGTGGGAGGCTCTCCTTTATACATGCTACTTCTGCTCAGAGGCCACATTTCAGGATGATGTGGTAGCCATCATTGCTCTCGGCTGCGAAGAGAAACACGGGGCATTTTTCAGGTGAAAGGCATGATGCCATGACCTTGGGGAATCAGGCAGGGAGGGCATGGTACTGGGGTACCAGCAGAAGCCCTGCCATGGATATTGGCTCCAAATGTAATTGCATGGAGTGAAGTGTGCTAACAAAAACAGGTTTTTAAACACATGCCTTCACATGCCTTCTGCCTTATTGAGTTTCTTTCTGCCAATGGGCCTTTCTACCATCACTCTAGGCCCAAGAACTAAAGGCTCCATATTCAAGAAGACTTCGGACAAACTGTGGTTCTCAGGGTATTCTGGCCCCCAGCTCTCTGAAGGTGGCTGCTGGCTAGATCTAAGAGAATAGGGGAGAGAGGGCTGGCCCTGTCACTGTTCAGGGTCTATGACCCTGTTGTGGGGCTTTCATTCTGATATACTCCCTACATTTTTACCTGCCCCACCCAACCCTATTATCACCATATATGGTGATATACCCTCACCCAGACCTAGACTAGGTCACAGCTAGTCCCCCCTTTCTCCTGGCACAAGAGTTCCTTCTCAGACCCCTTCCTCAGGGGAACCTTCATGCTCTTCCACTGCCCCAAATCCCTGACCCACTAGGCCTGCAGGCTCAGCTGCTGTATTCCACACTTGCTCCTCCTGGAGACCCCCACTGTGGAAAAACTCAAACGCACCTTACTTCTACTCAGGCACTGAGTTTATAGAGCACACACTGCCTGGCCAGATTTCCCTTTCAGAACTGACTTTGGAGCCAATCTCAGAAGTTCTCACATCAACAGGGCAGGCTTTCAGAGCAAGTATGTGTTCCTTTTCCCCAGAGGATGTTGCCAGATGGCTCTCGAGGGACCCACTGTGCAGGCAGGCCCCACTTACATAAAATAAACAAGAAAAAGGGGTGGGGGGGGGTCTTTACCTTTTAAGGTACTGAGGATAAAACAAGACTCATCTTGGAAATTCTGCACCATCTGAAAGGCAAAAAGAAAGACCATGTCCCTTTAACCATGAGTTCATAATGTGAAAAGCCACAGCGACACAAGAGCCCAGCCACCGCAGCAGGCAGAAATGACAATCACCATGTTTGCACAAATGCAGGGAAATGGTTCCATTTAACATTCACTAAGGAAACACGAAACAAGATAAATGTGTGAAATGATCACCATCGTAAGTAACAGAAACTGTACATAAAGGATAGAAAGGAGCCAGGCAAGGAACCAAAACATTAACATCGTAGTACAGGACTACATGTTTGTGCGCTTTCGTTTCCCTTTTTCGTACTTACTGAGACCTCCAATCCCTATATGGACACATTACAGGAGCATATATGTGTGTTAACAGCAACAAAGAGAAAACTAAAGTGCTTAAACACACACACACACACACAAACACACACAAACAACTTGGTAATTAGTATCAGAGTCCTATGAGGACCAATACCAACATAACACCACTCCTTGTGTCTACAAAGTGGCAGGAAGGGAATGATTATTCAGCTGCCCCTACAGTTCTCATTTTGATTAACTACCAGGTGACCTTGAACGAGTCAATCTTTCCCCTTCTGGTCTCTGAGCCCATCTGTAAAATGGGATTGCTCCCATGCGAAAGAAGAAAACCAGGATACAGAACATTAGAACTGGTTCCCACTGCTGGTGGAATGTCTCTACAACCACTTTACAAAGCTTCCACATGATCTGGTATGCTACTCCTCCCGGCCAGGGTTCCAGAGAAACCCCTGCATATGGTTTCTCCAGGGGTTTCTCTAGAACCACCTAAGAACGTTGACAGCAGCACTGGCTATTAAGAATGAAACGGGAGGGGCGCCCGGCTGGCTCAGCCCAAAGAGCATGCGACTCTTGATCTTGGGGTTGAGTTGGAGACCCAAGTGAGGTGCAGGCATTACTGACATAAAAACTTAAAAAAAAAAAAAAAGAAAAAAAGCGGTAACTGGAAACCACCCCCATGTCAATCAGTTATTTTGTGACCTCATCACGCTATGCCATCCAGTGGGCCAGGGGCCTCCAGCAGCACCTAAACACATCAATCTCAAAAATTTTAAGTGAAATGGAAGAAAGTCACAGAAAAACATGCTATTATTCACCTACATGAAGTTTTAAACCAGGCAAAATTAAGCAAGACACTGAGGAAATGGGGATGATTAGTACAGAATTCAGACCAGCAGATGGAGAGGAGGTGTGGAAGAGGAAATCAGCCCTCAGAGAGGCTTCTAACAGAATCTTGAATCAACCCGAGTGTCAATACTGGGCACTTCTTCCTTAAACTGTAAAAGCAAGTCCCACATACTCCTTGCACACATGTGCTGTACTTCACAATATAAATGGAAAGAATACTTAAAAAATAAACAACAAAAACTTAAACATACCCACTAACTAACACGCAGCAAACTCCTTTTCGAATTAAAAAATGCCACCCATATGTCATTGCCTCCTCTGGATTACTGCCCCAAATCCTGCAAGTCCACCCACCTGTGGACCCCTGCCCCTCCCTGCGGGGCCTAATGGCGCGTGCAGTGCATTTATTCTATGCTGCCGGCCTGCGCCCTCTGGGGCTCTTGGCAGCCCAGCTACTTGGGCATGCAAGGCTCTACACACATCCCACACAGGCTTAATCAGTAACTCCCTTGTTTAATTAAGTGCCCTTGCACCTCAGGGGCCGGCTCCGCAGCTGGCCGGGCTGCCTCCAGCACTCTGGGCAATTAAGAACCAAAGGTTTCCAATTGATTCAGGGTTAAGAGGCAAGGAGACTTCGGGGAATAAGAATCGCCTACTTAGCGAGGTCAGCACTGTGGTTCTGTTCTCTGCTTCACTTGCTTCACTGCCCACTCGGGAGGGCAGGGGCGAGCCGGGGAAGGGACTTCCCGCGGGGACCCGTGACATGGCAAGGGTTCCGCACATTCTTGACTTTTGTCTTCACCAAAGAAACTCATTCCTGTGCCCCCACGGCAGCCCACTGCTCAGGTGTCTGAACCTCCCGGGCTATTCTCAAGGAAGTGCTCAGGTCAGGAACTCTGGGCTTCATTCTGACTGTGAAGTGGGGGTAGGGAAACAGCTGCCTGAAATTTAAATGGAATGACAGGGAAGAATTCTGACCCAGGAACCAAACAAGCAAGTGCGAGATAAATGTACAGCTGGCTCAGGAATCCACGCCTGAACAATGCTCAGGCCCCCGACAGATGCCTTCTCAAAACATTATCCGGCAGATTTGCATCCAAGCAAGCCAGTACGAACTCCTCTAGGGAAAGAGTAGGGAAAAGCCGTACCTTTCGCGTTTGCCCTCCGCTATTTAAATTTCTTGATTGACACTAAACTGTGAATCACTTCTTTTTTTAAAGATTTATTTTTAAGTAATCTCTGCACCCATGGGGCTCGAACTCACAACCCTGAGATCAAGAGTCTCATGCTCCCCCAACTGAGCCAGCCAGGCAACCCATGAATTGCTTTTTAATTCAAGAGGAAGGAAACCACCACCAGTTTGCCAGCCTCCAGGACTCAACTCCCATGAAATGGGGGACACTCCCATTTAAGGGGCTCAGGTAACTGTAACGACAAGTGGAGACAGGATTATCACCAATAATGACAATATATCAACTACACGGACTATTACAAGCCTTACAGTTTGTATACTGTCACATTTAAGGATTTCTCCATCACTGCTCCCAAAAGTTCAAAGTGCCCAGCATCGTCTATTACCACCATCACCACAAGCTTAACCGGTGTCTCCCAGTGCCTGACATGGTTTTCTCATGTTATCCTTACCACAACCTGCTCAGTGGGTATAATTATCCCCGTTTTACAGATGTGGAAATGGAGGCTTAAAGGGGCTAAGTAAACATTTCCAGGAAGGTGGGCTAGCCATCTGGCTACAAGGCTGGGCTCTGCAGCTGGACACCAGGATTCCCATCCTAGCTCCACCCTTTATCGGCTATGTGACCTGGGGCGATTTACTCAGCCTCTCTGTGTCTCAGTCTCCTTTCTGTGAAATGGGATTTCACCCAATTCATAGGGAGGCTGCCAGAATTAAATGAGTGGCTACACATGCACTTAGGACAGTGAACAGCAGATAAATGCTGGCACTCCTATTATCATCAAGAGGAGGGGTCCAGGATAGAACAAGCTTAAATAAGGCATCAGGAATGCCTAAATGCAGATGCAAATCCTCCTCAGCCATGAGTGGGATCAGATCACTCTGTGCCCTCTGCCAGCAGCTGCTTGTGCCCCACACGTCTTTGCAGCCCAGGGAGACCCAGGAAGGCCATGGCATCTTTGCCAGTCAGCAGAGGAAGGCTCTGTGCTCCCATGTGACCTGCCTCCTCTCCATCATCCAGCCCACAGTCCATACCCCCATCCCTGGGACCTCCTCCTCCTCCAGCCGCCCTGACTTCTTAGAGTCCTGACCGTAAGCATTGTGAAGGCAGGTTTGTGCCACGGTTCCTGCAAGGCACGCGGCTGAGGATGGGAGGCAGAGTGGGTACCAGACAGCTTATTCAGAGCCTCAGAACTCTCCCCCCTGCACTCCAGGGGCAGCCAAGGGCATGTAGCATGCAGAAAAAACAGGCAGAAGTCATTCCCCAACCCCAGAGGGAGCATTTCTGGCGCCTGTCTGCGATGCCTCCCTACAGCCCCAAGGCCATAGTGGGGATGTTGGCAGCGCTCACCTCATTGCTCACCACCACGTGGATGCCCGTGGGGCCCTGCCGGTAGACTCGGTGGATATGCTGGGGGGAGATGCTGTACAGGTTGGCGATCTTCTCAACCAGCTCCAAGGTAGTCAGCTCTTCCAAGAAGATGGCATGGTACACTAGAGGGCAAGGGACAGGGCCTTCTATAGAACATACCCTGCTTTCTAAGGAGCTTGCCTACCCCCCAGCCCCCAAGAGAGTCATTCAGTTGTAAGGATGCTCATGCCCAGACCCATTCCATGGGACCTGGCTTTAACAGGCACCAAGGCTCTCGAGAGCCCAGCAGCAGGGGGAAGGCAGACAGGCTATGGTTCTGCATTCCTGTACTAGTCCCTCTGGGGGGATCTTACATAAAATGGAGAATTCCTGCATCCACCTGATACCCAATGATGCCCATGGCGGGACAGAGGCTGGAGGGAGATCGGCTGGCAGAACTCTGTATTTCTAACAAGCTGCTAGTGATTCTGACTTGTGACCAGACGCACACCCTTGCAGGAATGAGAAGAAATCATGCATCCCCTTTCCTTTCTTCCCATGGCTTAGAGGGGTCACTGGATGGCTCCAGGAGGCAAAAAGTGGGATTTAAAATCAATTAACATATAGTGTATTATCAGTTTCAGAGGTAGAGTTTAGCGATTTATCGGTCTTAATGTAATACCAGTGCTCATTACATCACATGCTCTCCTTAATGCCCGTCATGCAGCTACCCACCACCTCACCCCCTTCTGTAACCCTCAGTTTGTGTCCTAGAGTTAAGAGCCTCTTATGGTTTGTCTCCCTCTCCGCTTTCACCTTGTTTTATTTTTCCCTCCCTTCCTCTATGCTCCTCTGTTTTGTTTCTTAAATTCCACCAGTAAAATCATGTAATTGTCTTTCTCTGATTGATTTATTTCGCTTGGTATAATATCCTCTAGTTCCATCCATGTCATTGTAAATGAAGATTTCATTTTTTTTTGATGACTGAATAATATTCCTGTGTGTGTGTTTGTGTGTAACCACATCTTTATCCATTCGTCTGCCAATGGACACCTGGGCTCTTTCCACAGTTGGGCTACTGTGGACATTGCTGCTCTGAACACTGGGGTGCACATATCCTTCAGATCTGTAGTTTTATATCCTTTGGGTAAGTACCTCTTAGGACAATTGCCAGGTCGTAGGGTAGCTCTATTTTTTAACTTTTTGAGGAACTCCATGCTGTTTTCCAGAGTGGCTGCACCAGCTTGCATTCCCATGAGCAGCATTAAGAGGGTTCCCCTCTCTCCGCAAGGGATAACTGCAACCTGACATCACAAGGGGTCTCATCCTTGCCCTTCTCCACAGCACAAATGCCACTCCACCCCAGCATTGTGGCCACAAGGGGAAGAGAGGCCCTGGGAGCATCACCGCCCTGCTGGAAGCTAACACCGACCTGGAGGCTGGAAATGCTTCCTTACGGGAAATCCAAGCCAGCCAGGGAGGAGGCAGCTCTGCGGGGGCCCCGGGGCAGGAGCCTCCACACTCGGGGGCCTCAAGGTCCTCAAAGGCAAAGCATAACTGGACTAAAGGTTCCCAAACTCCTACCTCAACTGAGGAACGCCTGGCTTCAGAAAACCCTGTGTTTCAAAAGCATGCATGCACGTGCGCATGTGCACACACGTGCGCACACACACGCACACGTGCACACACACACGCACGCATGCTCCGAGGCCACGGCCTTCCAGCCACACATCAGACTGGCCGTCCCAGGCTTTCAGACGGGCTGAGCGGCCATCAGATCCGGTGCAGAGCGTGTGGCCACGCCCCAGCCCCCAGTGTGGACAGCAGGTGAGGAGGCCAGGGCCCCTCTCTAGGACACCCTTCTGTGACAGACTCCAGTGGGCTTCTGCTGCACTGTCAGGAGGGCTTGGGGTGGCCGAAGGGTCCATGGGACACTCCTCTGGACTCCTCCCGAGCCACCTCTCCTCCGGGGCCGTGCCAGCAGTACTCTGGGATACGAGGCTCTAGACTAGGCCATCCCAGGCTCACAACCCAACTCAGCCACTGGAGAAGCCAGCCCTGGAACAATCCGCAGGTCCTGGGGCCCCAGGGTCTGTGCCGGGGCAGCACCAGCACTCAGGGCCTCTGCGAGCATGAATCACGAATTGTGCTGGAGCGCCAGGCTGCCCCTTCTGCCCCCAAGGCTCAGGATCTATCCCTCATGGGCAAACAGCTGAGAAGCTGCGGGAGGACCTAGCCATCGTTCAGAAATGTCCAGGGGCCAGACGCAGGGCGCAGAAGCCAGTTTCCAGGGTCCCAATGTTTGGGTCCTGGCTCTGCTACACACAACGCTGTCACCTGGGGTACAGTGACCCACCCTGTGCCTAAGTGTCCCCCCCTCCCCGGGAAATATTCCCAACAGTGCCTATGAGGAGATGCGAGTAAGCGAGCACACAGGAAGGAAGCCCTTTAGATGGACTTGGGGAGCCTTCCTACTCCACCAGTGCTCCCCCATTCTCTGCAGACATGCACAGAAGAGCATGGACTCTGCGGCTTGAGACCGACAGCTGGCCAGACCCGCAGAACGCAGAGACGCTCAGAAGCAAGGCGCTTCGCTATACATGCCTTGTCTCACCAAAACCTCCCATCTCTGGGGGTAGTGTCGCTATCTGTATTCTGTACGTGCGGAAGCAGGTGCACGGACCCTGGTACCTTGCCCAAAGCCACACAGCCAATACGCGGCATGGCCAGCCCTGGGGCCCACACTCAGCCGACCTCAAAGCCTCTGTCCTCTCACCAAACTGCCAACCCAAAAAAGTCACATGCCCCTGAGGCACCCCGAGCTAAGCCACCAAACCAAACGGGAAAGACTGGTCCGGCTGGGGGGTCACCACAGGAGGAAGTGCTCTGGGAATCAGGCCATCGAGCAGTCACTCATCACCAGCCTGGAAGCCCGAAGGCCTGATTCCCAACTCTCCCAGGAGCGGCTAAGTATGGGTGGGGCGCGTCCCCTCTCTGAGCCTGCTCTCCAGGTAGCAATTGGGCTAGACCAGCTGTTCTGGGAGAGGGCTTCCACCTGCAACGTTTTAATCCCAGGAGGGAGTTTACCAAGAACTCATGCTTCGAGAACACTGAGTGAGGTGGCTCAGTGGACACATTCTCGGCAAGACGACTCACACTGCTGCTGAGTCTTCCTGTGACCCGGCCACCAGAAACCAGCCCCAGGCTGGCAGGGTGGAGGCAGGCCCCCCACAACTCACCACAAAGACTGCTGTCCCCACCACCATCCCGCTTCTGCTGCAGTGGCGCTCGGCTCTGCTCCAGCTCCTGACAGACGTAAATGGTCATCTTTGGCCTCACATTCCTGGCAGGAAGAGGGGAAATAAACAGCAGGTACTGGTGGGGGGGGGGGAACATTCCAGAAATGTTCCAGAACACAGGGTGGAACTGGCAGATGGAAGGATTCAGGGAGAAGAAAGGAGGCCGCCAGATGCAGAAGGCCTTTGTATGGGCCTCCACGGCGTCAGGCAGGCTTGCCTAGAGGCAGCAGGATGGCCAACACTTCCAGGTCCTGTAAGCTGCCATGAGGGCTCTCTGCCCAGAACACCCGTCTCAAGACACAAAGTGTTTTTCAGGGCACTAACAAGAGCAAACACTTTCTCTGGCTTACCCTGCCCCAGGCACCATTTCCAGAACTTCACGTGCCTCCCTCATTTCATCTCAAACACATAGGGCACTGGAATCACAGCCCTCATCTTACAGAGGAGGAAACTGAGGCTCACAGGGGTCAGGGCTTTGGTGAGCGTAGAACTCGGAAGAGGCAGATCTGAGATGCACACCCAGGCCCTCACCCTCACTCTAAAACTGTGCTATCCATGCGTGACAGGGAAATGAGATTTAAAATTCACTCGGTCAATGACATTAGCCTGAGACCAAGCACCCCACAGCCACGTGTGGCCGGGGCTGCTGGACTCAACAGCATGGCGCCCAACATTTCCACCACAGCAGACCCAGCCCTGCTCTCTGGTCTGCTCAGAGAACAGAGAGCTGCACCAGAGTCCCACCCCTCCTTCTGGAAGGAGGCAGCTGGGATGATGCAACCAGCTGGGCACCTGAGGGGAAGGCTGAGGGGCTCAGATCCAGACACCAAGGCTCCAGCCAAACCGAGAAGCAGGAGGGACCTGCAGGGAGGGGTGAGCTGCGGCAGGCTCAGCCCCCCCCCCCCCCCCCCCCCATGGCCCTGATCCCCTCTCACAGGGCCTCTTCCCTGCACCTGCTCCAGGAAGAGCCCTGTCCCCCCCAGAGGACCCACATGGCAGCATCCAAGAGGCTGAGATGAGGCTCCCTGCCATACCCCGCATCCAGCTGGAAACGGATACCCACCGGCCTTTGATGGCATTGAAGAGTCTGATCCCATCTGCAGGCCCACAGATCTGGACCAAATCCTCCCGAGACATCTTCAGCAAGTCAGCACCTAGGCAGGAAAATGGGGCTGCCTGTTAGTGGGAAACACAGGAAAGCTTCCATCCTCAGGCACCTGCAGACGCTGCACTGCGGACAGGGAAGAGTGGGGACAGGGAAGCGTCAGCCTCACGCTCCGCGGGCACCGGACGTTCCACAGAGAGAGAAACAACAAAAAGCTAAACATCAGGAAATCACAGCCCGAGAGCTGAGTGGTGTTCTCCAGCTCAGCAGAACAGACGGGCATTTACAAAAGCCGACAGGTCCTCGCCAGCTGTGCCCGCCCGTCCCTCCCTCCGTACTGTTTAGCGCACTAACACAAGCACACGTAACCCAGCACAGGACACTGAGGACCCATGCTCGTCGAAGCGCAGAAGTGCACAGCTCCCTGCCTGTGGCCACCTCAGTACAGCCACACTCCGGCACACAAACGAGAGGCAGACGTTCCCACCTCCCACTGGCACCCGCGCCAGCCACGCCCCCACCGCTGGGGAACCACCATCCTGACTCCTCATCTCCTAAAACTTTGCCTGAAACTTTGAAATTTATGTAAGGGAATGGACAAGGATGCACTTTTCCTATGTCCAGCTCCCTCCCTCCCAGTTCTGTTTAAAGGCTCATTCATGCCCATTATTACGTATTCTTCATCGCGTGAGTACACCACAGTCCCATGTCCATTCTCTGCCGATGGGCACCGGGGTTGCTCCCAGCTGGGAGTAATTATGAATAAAGGTCTATGAACATCCTTACCGTGGATGCAGTCCCGTCCTCAAAGCCCAACAAGTCGCCTAGAGCCTTGTGCCTTAGGACTCTCCAAGGGACAAGTATGCTATTACCTTCCGCTGAAAACCAGCCAGCAGTCACATGGACAGGAGCAGTAACATCCAACCCCTTTTTCCTGCCACAGTTCAGAGACAGTTTCAGGCATGATTCTGTCAGCACAAAGGCTCCCTCTACATGACAAGGAGAAGCCAAAATCCTCCACTGTTCTACCAGGCCCCTCGGTCCCTTTCTGACCTCACCTTTCCCAGTCCACTTGGCCCCACTCACCTGGGTGCCAGGCTCTGTGGCCTCACCAGGCAGGCCCCCACCTTGTGGCCTTTGCACTTTCCGCCTCCTTGGACATTCCACTGTCCCCTGTACCCACTTAGCTCCCTTCCTCCCCTGGGCCTAGCCTCTGCTCAAGGGCACTGTCTCTCTTTGGCACCCCGAAAATGGCAGCATCCCTCCCTGCTCCTCCCCAAAACGAGCCAGGCCCCTCCTCTGAGCCTGCCCACCACCACAGGGTCACACAGCACTGAAACATGGGGTCCACACACCTGTGCAGACTCAAAGCTACACGCTCCCTGGGAGCTCAAAGGAAGCCCCTGCAAAGCTGAGCTCAAAGACGACCGTGAGTAGTTTTCCTTCCACTGTCACAGATGTGCATGGGAGCCACCGTCCTAGTTCTGGTCAATATTTTACTCCCGGTCCTTCTGGACTGCCTCGACTTGGTAGCAGGGTTCACTGCTCTGCTTACCGTTATGCCCCACAGCCCTGGCCCTGGGTCTGTCTCTGACAACCCCACCGGTGAGGGCCTGAAGGAAGCCGCAGCTTCCTCTCCTCCCTGCGGCTTCACTGTCATCTCCCGGGTCAGGGCTCCAGAGACAGCATGACGCACAGGCGGCGGGGTGGTGGGGAAGAGCCAGAAGGCTTGCCGAGTGTGCCCCAGCCCACATGGTGCAGGGGGCCCTTCCCAGGCAGACTGGGACCCACCCTAGGGGACCCAGATGGTCCTCCCTGAAACGCACACTCGACTCGAAACTCCCAACAGACAGGACCTCCTCCTTTAGCACTTGGCTCAGGGTCAGCAAGTGAGTGAGTGACCCATGCCATACCGGGTCCCAGCCCGGCAGGCAGTGCGGCCAAGTCTGGGAAGCCACCTGGCTTTGTGACGTGTTTCTAGGATCCCCACGGGTTCTACCAACAACACAGAGATGCGCACCCGAGAAGCTGGCGAAGAGCCGGCAGAACTGTGAGAACCTGTTTCGGTGGAGCCACTGCTGGGCATCCTGGATGGAGGCTGACGGAAGCAGGTGCTGCAGGCAGAGAGAGAGGAGGGGCCTTGACATGAGCACGCCAGGTCTGCCCAGGGACACACAAGCCGGAGAGCTCAGCGGCACACACTTACATCATTGCCCAGCGGCACGGTCTCCACCGGGTGCGTCGGGGAACTGTTCCTGCAAAGAGAACTGGAGATCAGTCGCGGGCACAGCCCCCTCTCCCAGTGTAGCGCTCCCCCTCCCCTCATGGAATGGCCCTCACTGCAAATGCAGCAGGGCCTCAAGAATTCCCCAGGTCAGAGACATGTTGGCAGAACCGCCCACGCAATCCCTCAAAATCCCTACCAGCCCTCCAGGGCGGACACGATGTTCTGGCTGGCAACACAGCACAGCCAACGAGCACCCCGCTAGCCCGAGCTCAGGGTCTACAGAGTCTCCCACTCCCCACCCCCGCCAGCCTTGGCCCCAGGGGAAGGCAGGCTGCCCAAGGATCCCCAAGCACCGTTTGGGTGCCCAGACAGCAGCAGCCAAACCCCTGTCTGCAGAGGCAGAGAGGGCTTTGGGCTCCTGGGAGGGACCTGCCCTGAATAGGGAGCCGCAGTCTGGCACCCACTGACGAGGAGAATACAGTCATGGCTGGAGGCACCTGCTCTCCCGCCAGGGCTCACTCATGGGGAAGGCACATACCTGAACACCTGCATTTTTAAGTTAAGAGGAAGATACAGTTTTAAATATAAATGACCCTCCCAGACAGAGACTGGAGAAGGCACAACGTGGAGGGACATAGGTGTCTCACTCTGATTTAAACTGACAAGCTGGGGTGACTTTGTGTGCACCTTACCACAGTGACACTAAAGAAAAGGCCCTCGCTGGGATGACCCTCAGACGGGTCGTCGGTGACAAGAGCTGCTCTCTGTGCAGTGTCCGTGAGGCGCACCGTCCCCCAACCCTGCACCAATCCTCACTCCCTGCTAGTGGAGAACGTGAGGCTGTGGAAGGTTAAGAACTCACCACTCACCCCAGAGTGGGGGATTTAACACTGGGTCCACCTGAATCTGAACATGACACCTAGGCTTTGTGCCCCTGCCCTTCTCAAGGAAGCCCCCTGTGACCTTGTGAAATCAAGTTCACGGACACACCCACTCTCCCGTTAGTCAAGGTTTCTGCAAGCCAAGCACGGGCTCTGAGGTGCCCACAGGTTCCACACCTACCTGCTAAACCTGCCTGGGGTCTCCCTGCTCCTGCTGTCCCGTCCCCCCAGAAACAGGATCAGGATGTGCACAGCCATCACAGTGGTGCCCTGAGCGCTTCCTGCGCCCCACAGCCTAGGACAGGTCCGACTGATGCCCGCCAGCCCCTGCACAACTGTCACCTCAGACGCAGTGTGGCCTGTGCACTTCCAGAGCCGGGTGGGCAGGAGCGAGGCCACTCCTGTGGGACAAGCCCTGAAGCCCGGGCCAGGGAACATCCTGAGCTGACCCGTGCTGCCTGGAGAATGCGCACAAGGACCGCAGAAAGAACGAGGACGGCCCCTCGCAGCCTCCGGGGCCACCAGAATGGCCACCTCCTAAGGCTCCATCTGTCGAGAAGGCATTCTGCCCCGGAGGGCACCCACAGGCCAACCTGCTTCCACGGTGGGGGAAAGGGGTGGGAGGCTGGGTCCTGGGCTGCTACCCCAGCAGACAGTGCTTACAGAAGCGTGTCCAAGCACAGAAACCCGTGCAAATATTCCAAGTCCCGCCCTGAAGCGCATGCTGATGCCAGCATACCAAGGCAGGGGCGGGGCGGGGGGCAGGCGCGGTGGATACAGAGGAAAGATCAAGAAAGGAGCCTAGATCCATCATCACTCCAGGAGCCCCAAAGGGAGAGAGGGCGGACATACCCTTCACCAAGGCCGAAGCTGTTTGGAGAGCCGTTGTAGCTTGGAGATGGAGCACTGTTCACCTGGTAGGCCATGTCCGGCCACGGGGAGCACTGCAGAAAGAGCACAGGGCAGCAGTGACTCACGGGCCGTGACAGGAGGAACTCGGCTATAGAGGTACTATCCCAGCTCCTCTCTCTCCCAAACCAGCATCCATCGAGGCCAGCACAGGACACCACGGATCCCTCAACATTCTCCCACAATCTCCCAGGCCCCACATGAGGCAGCGGAGTATGAGTTTCCTAGGGCCATGTCCAAGAAATCAAGCCCGGCAGAGAAGAGACCTAAAGTTCAGTCATTCCCAGAGCAAGCAAAGCAAGGCATGCATCTCTGTGAGCTTTCTAGTGGTCGAATCACCAAGGGAAACATCATCCATCCCCTGGGTCCACAAGAAAAGAGAGCTAATGACACAGGCCAGCTGCCCAGAGGCAGGTTTTCCAGATACAGACAAATGTGTGTCCATGCACAGAAGAGGGAGCAATGGACACAGATAACTTCTAAACAAAAGTCATCAATGAGGTTCAGTACTGGGGCACCTGGGGGGCTCAGTCAGTCAAGTGTCCAGACTCTTGGTTTTGGCTCAGGTCACCATCTCAGGGTTGTAAGTCAGGCTCCATGCTTAGCAGGGAGTCTGCTTGTCCCTCTCCCTCTGCTCCTCCCACTATTCTCTTCCTCCCCACACCACCACCAATCCCCCCTGCCAAAATAAGTAAGTAAGTAAATAAATAAACCTTAAAAAATATATATAGGAGTTCAATACTAAAACCTGCACTATTTGAAAACAGAATCAACCGACAGGCCCTGGAGAGCAGAAGGTACATAAGCGCCTCCAAGAGCAGGCCAACCCCTCTGGACATCATTCTACATCTGTTACACGTCAGGCGTCCTGCTAGGAGCTAAGGGAGACACAGAAGACACGAAAGATGTGATCCCTGACCTCAAGGTACTTTTGTCTAGAAGCCAAAAATGAACATACGTGAGAGTCACCCAGACAGAGACAGCAAAGACATACAGGTTTTGCCTGTTGGGGAAGCCAGTGGGCCAAGTATTCACTTTTTTCCCTTCCCTGTGATGACACCTCCTTGGAAAGGGCCAATATGAAGCATTCCTGAAGATTTACTATCACCCACCGAGCCACAGGCCGGTGAATATTTAACTCCGTTGTGCGTGTGGACTGGAATGCCGTGGCGCTAACCCCGGGAGTGGAGGAGTCGACAACCTGTCACGGGCGGGGGCCAGGCCGGGGTTTTCACCAGCAGCACCGCGTGCTGACAAGGGCTTAGACAGACATGGTCTGAAGCACCCCCAGCGCTCTCCTCCAGTGAGGGCATGTCTGAGGAGAGTCAGGAGCAGAGAGGTTCAGGCTCAGCCTGGAAGGGAAAGGTGTCTGGAGGCAGAGGGTGGTGGGAGTGTGGAGGGCACCCTGGGGGGCCTGGCACTCTTCTGCTGCTGAGTGAGTAAGCCAGGCTCTCCCTGCACCACGGCTCTCTGGCCACTGTCACTCTGAGCCTGCTGAAACGCCACTACAGATCTGTCTGTGCCGCAAAGTTAGCTTCCGTACTCTGCCTTGCTGCAAACGCCCTTCTGCATACGGCTTATTACACATGCTCGCACACACACACACCTCCCAGGACCAGCCACTGTTCTCTTAGCTGCTCTGTGCCCAGGGCCTCACTTTAACCACAGCTGTAACCCCCACCACGGCCAGTGCTGGGCCTTGTGCATCTGTGGGGAGCCTTCTGGGCCAGTCGCACTAGGCAATGAACAAACACTCCCGAGTTGGGCTGACTGCAGAATGCAGTGAGGAATGGTTGCATTTTTTGCTTCTTTAAAGAAAAAACAGAGCCCAGGAAAAGGTGGCTCCAGCAGTGACAAGTCACAGGAGGAAGCAGTGCCTGTGACAGTGTTCATCTCAGAAGTATGCTGGACACAGGGACGCCGTGAGAGTCTGAGCTGGGGGAAAGGCACTGCATTCCAGTATCCATCCCAACTACAGAACAGCTAGTAGTTCACACCCCCTGACCCAGTGAGCCTGCTGAGAACGGAAGCCTGCAGAGACTTCTACCATATGCAGACCTTCACACCGCCGCGGTCACTCACAGCCCCCTATTGACCAACAGCAGGAGCCCAGGAAGCACCAAATGTGCACCAACAGGCCATCATCCACACAACGGAGCCACGCCTCTGGATAAAGAACCAGAAAGCTCTGTATGAACAGATGGGGAACAGACTCCAAGCAAGCAAGTTACAGAACAACGTGTCTATGTACACTGTCAGTGTAAAAACAGCGGGCGTGGTTGCACTGGCTTCACCAGCAGAGGAAGCTGGGCCACGTACGTGAAGACCCAGGGATGACAGCTGTCCTGGGGAGAGAAAGCTCGAGGCTAGGACAATTTGGAGAAAGGTATTTTCTGATGCATACACACTCTCTTCTGTTGGATTCTGGGCTATTAAAACAACAATCACCTGACTCCGGAAATTGCCAAGAGCCCAGAACTGGAAGTTACTTCGGAAACACTGTCCCGGCCCCCTGGGCTTATCGCGTGAACACAGCTCTGAACCTGGGAACCTAATACAATTTCATGGGCACTGTCAAAAGAGGCATTCACTCCCCAGTGGGCAAGTTTCAAGAATCTAAACCAAAAGGCAAAAGGCCCAGGGCGGCAGGGGGATGGCATGCACCTCGACACCAGGCCAGCTCACCTCTGTGAGAATGGTGGTCTCGTAGGATGGCTGGTACTTCTCCTTCTCCTCGGCCGTTCTTTTCTCCATCTTTTCCCGGTCGGTCTTCTGTTTCCTGTCAGCTCCCTTTGGCTACAAGTGCAGAGCACAGGGGTCCCATTAGTCCAGAGTGGGCAGAGGCAGCTCTCAGAGAAAGACCCAGGGCTTGGTGACAGTCCCCAAGGCCTGCATGCTCCCTGCCTCTCCCCAGGGCCCAGGGGCCAGGAGTCCAGGCAGGATCTCTGGATGGAACAACACCTCCCACACCTCCCAGGTGTTAAGCACTCAGTCATCTTCCTGGAGCCCTTCCCCTTCCTCACCCGAGGGCACCCACGGCCTGCCACAGGGTCCTGCCACTCAGCTGCTCAGGGGGAAATGCTTGTAAATAATCTCTACCAGAGGCCACTGGCCCATGGACAAAACCTTTGGGAGCACAGCAAACTGCAATGCATTCCTTGGGTTACCGGTGGAGGGTGAAGGAAATGGAAGAAGTCAGGGCTACTGGTGGGAGTCTGCACCTGTGTGCTGGGAAATCCTGGACGCATGGTCAAGGTCTCCTGATCCCTCAAACTTCCAGCACCAGCGTGCAGGTCGCTGCTGGCACACCTCACATGGGATACCCCCTCCAGCTTCACAGAGCCTGTCTTAGGCACCCAGCAAACGTGAGTAACTTATAGAGGCACTACAATTTCCATCATTTACAGGTAAGAAAACTGAGGCTCAAGTGACTTGGTAAGAATGGAGAGGAACATGCTGCCCTGGCTGGTCAGAGTCTTCAAAAACCAAAAAACAAAACAAAACAAAACAAAACAAAACCAAAAACGCGAAGCAGAAACAAGTGCTGACCAGGTGAAAATCCAAGAGAGCGTGTCCCGGTATATACCACCTGTATGGACCTAGCAGCCCCACTCCCAGGGCACTCACAGCCTGCTTGGTGGCTCCCAACACTGACTCCCAGCAGCCCCAGAGCCCAGAACTGCGCAGTCTGCCTGCGGATGCCACAGACCAGGCATAGGGCACACTCAGTGAAAACCATCATCCCAGAATGCACCTTCCTCATGCCACGTAGCTTTTCGTTTCCAGCTAAAGGGCATTTTAGGACACAGCCCTGAGGGTGATGTGAGACCCACATTAGACAAAGCTCAGTTTGCAGGGGGTCCTCTGGGGACAGCAATGACAGATTTGGTATTCTGAGAAAGACCAGGCCTGCAGTCCCTATACCCCCATCATCTGCCCCACCAACCCCCGTCCTGGCCCCTGTCCCTAACAGGAGGCTCGTCCTCCCTGTCCAGAAACCACGGGGCAAGCCCGTGTGTGGGGTCGGCACTTGGCCCGGTGAGGCCTGTGGAGAGCTGGCTGGTCAGGGAGGGGTCCTTCCTGTCCCATCAGAGGCCCTGACACTCCTCCCCTACCCCGAGCCCCAGCACCTGGCTCCAAAAAGCAGGAGGCTTCCCAATGACAGGTGACAGGGTGACTGGGGGTGGAGAAATGACAGCCAAGCTGGTAAGACCACCTGGCGCTTGCACACACCTGCTGGCACTGCTTCTGTGATGGGGCTGGGTACGTGGGGCAGCCATACCTCCCCAGGCGTTCTGAGAAGCCAGCTTCAAGTGACAGGGGCCTCCATGCCCCTGCAGGAGATGCCAAGGCCTTCCCTGGGCCACTCAGACAAGGCAGCTTCAGATCCATTCCTCAGTGATAGGTGGTGTGTGGCCCAGGAGCCTGGTGGGCAGAGTCCTCACCCCTGAGCTTCTGCCTCGAGGTGTAGAAAGGGGAGCTGCTAGGGGGCCATGGGAAGGCCTAGGCGCTCTGGGGATGGGGACGCGGGGGGGCAGACATAGTCCATCTCTCATGCCCAGTGCGGCCTCTGAACCCCAGGAATCCCACTGGATGCCACTGGACCAGAGGACAAGGACGACTAGCAGGACCACACATGTGGTCTGTACAAGGGAGGGACAGAGGTATGACTGGGACAGGCAAGGACATCCGGCAGCAGCTATGGGGCCGTCCACAGCAAGTCAGAACCGCGAGAGCCCAGAGCGGGCCATAAAAAGACCAGAGGCTGCGGCGCCCACTGCACCAATGGACGGGCTTAGTCGAGAAGTGCTCCCCAAAGATGGCCACGTCCTCACCCCCAGGACCCTGAAGCTGTCACCTCACAAGGCTGCAGGTAGAATCAGGATAGCAAACAGCGGGAGACAGGACAGGAAAATGATCCTTAGGCATCCCAGGGGGTCCAACGTCATCACAGGGCCCGTGAAAAGTGGGCGAGGGACAGGGGAGAGGAGGCTGAAGTGACGTGACCACAAGAGCCCAGCACTCCTGCCAGCTCTGAGGAAAGGTGGATGGGCCACAGGCGGAGGAACACAGAAGCCTCTAGAAGCTGGCAAAGGGAAAGAGAGGGAGCCTCCGGAAAGGAGTGCAACCCTCCTCACACCCTGACTTAAACCCAGTGAGACCTTGTGAGGCTGTGGACCTCCAGCCCTGAGGAGTAATACATGTGTGTGGCCTGAAGCCACGAAACCTGTCATCATTTGTTCCAGCAACAACAGGAAAACAACTACGGTGGCCTTGCAAGGAGTCACCATCCTGAAGCCGGTTTCTGAGGGAGCTACCGCGCTGGCCCAAAAGATGCTCCCACCATGACCAGCGCCTTCCCACCTGGGGCAGAATCACTAACTGAGCCGGAGCCCGCCCCTCCCTCACCCCTGCAGAAGCCACAGGCTCTGCTGTGACCCTCCATCTCCCCTGGCCACTGCCCATCTTTAGGCAGCAACGGTCCAGACAGATGAGATGAAGAGTAGTTAGTTAACAGGCAAGTGCAGGGGGTGGGCCGGGAAGGAAAAGAGAGGAGGTCCCCGCAAACACGTTTCCTGTTCCAACAGGAGGCTGCTGCAGAGGGAGATGCGGCTTCGGGCCCTCCATAAAAACATCTGGGGCCGGGACTCCCGCACGCCGCCTCCTGACCTGATTTTTAAGGCGACTCTAAAGGGCAACTACAGAATCCATGGTCAACTACAAAGTGCTCGGGAAGAAAACAAAAACCTAAAAACGTTCAATTCCAGACAGTCTTACAAAGCAGAGCTGGGCACAGCCACAAGTGATGCCGGAGGACAGAAGGTGCCCCATGCAACAGGACACCCACGGGGGGCAGGCCCATCAGTGCAGGATATGCCGGCTCGTGCTCCTGGGGGGTTCGGGAAGCCCCAGGCCCATGGGACACCGGGCTCCCTGCTGGGCCTCCAGGGGGAATCCCAAAGGTCAGTGTCCAGCACAGGCGGGGACCCCAAGGGCAATGCTGTCCTACCTTGAACACCTTGATCTGGCAGCTGGCCGAGTGCAAGTGCTCTGTGTACTCCCCATTCTCGTTCTGCTTAAATGTATCGATCTGCACCCGGAAAGGCACGCCCTTCTCGCCCCCGTGCTTCCTGGGAGTGAACTCGGTGCTGATACAGTGCACCTAGAAGGGGAAATGCGGGCGAGGAGCAAGGAGAGGGCTGAGGCCAGGCCCTGGACTCCTCCAGGGCCCCTCGCCAAATGGAGGTTTCTATTCTGCCTCTTCAGGTGCACACCTGCCTCAGCTTCCCTGCTCTCCCACCCATGCTCCCATCAGGGCCATGGCCTCCCCATCCCCCCCTCTTTATAAAGGACATGCCCTCCCACCTTTGTCCCTTGACCTTACAGGCCCTGCCTGACCAGCTACCTCCTCGCCACTGCTCAGGCCCAGACCTCAGCGGCCACACCCTCTACTCCCTCCTCTCCCTTGGCAGATCCCCCAGACTGCACAGCAGGGACCACAGCTCAGTCCCCAACAGGCCTGGCGTCTGGGTTATTGGGCCAGGCCAGAAACAGGACCAGAGGCTGCACGTTACTGCTAAGTAAATACCTGCTACAGAAAAAGGCACTGGATAACATATTTCTTATTATAATACTGTACTACTCCAATAATATACATTATTGTGATAATACAATAACATCGCAGTCGTAACTTTAAAATATAATAAGAATATTGTAATTATGTAAAAAAAATAAATCACTAACTTTCACTGAGCAATTGCTATGGACCAGGCACTGCAGTAATGACTTTAGGTTCATTATCTGATTTATAAGACAGGTGGAAAAACTAAGAGGCTCGGAAAGGGACATAGACTGAGCAAGGGAATCTGAGTCAGCCCAGCAGCACAGAGGCCCTGCCATGCCCCTGGATCCACACCAGGTGCTTGATCACTGATTAATTTAATCACAGAAATTCTCCTGGAAAAAATTTTATTACATATTATCTATGCGAGGACATACTTATTCCGTAACAAGCTTACATATGGTTAAGCAAAACCCACACAGAATTCTCCAACAGGCCAAGTCCTTTTCTAGCTCTGGGGACCAACCAGCTCTGGGACTGAACTGCACTCCTGTACCCCGTTTCCTAAATGTGCATCCCCGCAACAGAACAGGGCCTGTGTGGGCCCCACAGGTGGACTGTTTTGAGGAACTACACACAGGCCCCAAAACTTTGGCCTCCCCCAAGGACACTCGCTTACCTGAATGAATGCCGAGGCTCTCTTTGAAGGGTCCCATAAAAATTCGACTGCGTTCAGCTGGGTCGGGCTGGCCCTGGGGTCCAAGATACCAACAGACAGTGGAATATCTGCACACACACACACACACACAAAAGTGCAATCGTCAGCCACTCCCAAAGATTTAAGGAAGGTCCAGATTCCTTCACCATAATTTGCAATGCCCAAAGTTCTGAAAACTGAGTTTCACCCAGCTCATTTGGCAGCAAGCCCAACGTGACCGCCATGAGGCCATTTAGAGTCTTTGTCCCATTCTGGGTCAATGTTTTCTCCTGCTGCAGAAATATCAGTGCACCTGACTGGCTACTGGGAGGCATCACCTGTCGCTAGGGGTCTCCGCGCCCTGTTGTAAGAATTCTGACCTCTGAATTCCAAAACCCAACTGGCTTCCAGGGTTCTAGATAAAAGACGACGGACCAGTGCCCAAGACCCCAAACTCAGTTTCTGTTGCCCAACTCTGCAATGCCCATGCTTCCCTCTGTCACAGAGCAAACTCCTTTAAGGCGGGACCCTCTGCAAAACTTTCCCTGTGATCCCTGACTGCAGGCCTTTGAATGAGAAGTCCCCAAGGGCAGGCCTGGGGGAATGGGCGGGTCTGCCAGCTCCCACAGCAGCTCACCCAGGGCAGGAGTGCACTAAGAGCCCTACGGAGGCATGAGTCCTAAGGCATCCAGGAAGAACCCTAATATGCTCGGAGTGCTTGGCGCCCCTCTTGGCCAAGAGACTCACCGATGTCCAGGATCCTGTCCCCGGGCCGGCTCCAGCGCCATCCCTCCAGCTGCTGGTGCTCTGTGTACTGCAGCCGGCGGTCGTGGAAAACCACACGGATGATGCTCTAGGGAGGACAGGCCAGGCAGACAGCTGAGTATGGGGACAAGAAGGACCCAAGAGGAACCTTCCACGAAGGCAAATTTCCCACCTTTTAAGACTAAGACCCCTCCTGCCGGAGCCTTCCTTCCCAGCTCTCTGGCTCTGTGTGCTTCTCCCCACTCAGAACCCCAATCACAGACAGTGAGAATGAGGACTATCCCCTTTTCCAGAATTACTAAGTGCTTTACATACATGGCTAATCTATACTCCTTTTCATGCAGATGAGACAACTGCTCAGTTAAGTGGCAAAGCCAGGCTCACATCTCAATCTGTCCAACTCAGAGCCTGTTCAGTAAGCCCAGGCCCCTCTAGCTCTCAGAACTGCCTGCCTGACCCTGGCTACTTAGACAACATGCCCCAGGGAACAGGAATCCCTTTCCCAGTCTGGAGCGCTACCCAAACCTCCCAGGCACTCCTGATCCCCACCTCCAGCAAGCCCAGGTTTCCTAACCCCCACCCCTAGCAGGCCCAGGTTCCCAGACCCCCAACAACTCCTAAGGAGGGAGGGCGGCCCCGTAGCCTTGCCTTGACATATTTTGTGTTCAGATCTTGGAAGTCTCCCAGCTTCCGATTCTCCAGCAGTCGGATTTCATAAGACTGACCTAGAGGGGGATGAATAGGACATTCTCCATTTCTGAGGGGTTTCAGACCTGGGGTTCACCCAGACAGTGGCCTTCTTGACCTCCTCGGTGGCCCACCTAGGCCTCTCTGCCCCAGGGGACAGAGCGAGGAGTCAATGCATGGCCAACTCAGACAGCTGGCTCTCTGGGCCACGCACACCCCCCACCCCCAGTCTGTCCCCGCCTGGTTGCACCTAGGACATCCCATGGAGCAAATCACATGTCCCAGAAACAGCACCTCCACAATTTTCGAAGGATTCAACAAAATGTAGTTAACACTAAATTTATGAATGAATGGGGTGCCTGGGTGGCTCAGTGGGTTAAAGCCTCTGCCTTTGGCTCAGGTCATGATCTCAGGGTCCTGGGATCAAGCCCCATATCGGGGTCTCTGCTGGGCGGGGAGCCTGCCTCCCCCTCTCTCTCTGCCTGCCTCTTTGCCTACTTGTGATCTCTGTCAAATACATAAATAAATAAATCAATCTCAAAAAAAAAAAAAAAAACACATTTACAAATGAAACTTCACAGTTCTTTATAAAGGACGCCCCCACTCACCTAGATGGAGAACTCAGCCACCCACTCAAATCCACGTGAGAGTAAATAAATGACCGTACCCTTCCCCAGAGCAGTTAGAGGAACGAGTAAAAGCCTGTTAAACATTGTCCCTAACTGCAGAATGAAAAGCATTTTCCCAAGTTAGAAGAATTCCATGTATTTAAAGGGTGTGGGATTCTATTTGGTGACCCTGCACCAGCAGAGGCTGGTTCAGGAATGCCCACGGGGGAAAAGGCGCATCCACCTGACAGACACAGCTCCCATCTATGAACAGCCTGAAGCAAGCAACATGCGTTATCGGGAAGTGAAACAGTCTGAAGAAATAGGACACATCACGTTCCCAGACGGGAAGGCCAGTTCTCAAATGATGTCAGTTCTTCCCAAATTAAGGGAGTGCTACGACTCTAAGACACCCGTACGTATGTCATAACTTAATAAAGATGTTTGACAAACTGAGAGAATGACTTAACAATGGTAAATCTGACTGGCTGGCTAAAATTTTTTTTCTTTTTAACTTTGAGATAAGGATAGACTCACAAGAAGTAACAAAAATAGTACAGAAAGGTCTTGAATACCTGTCCCCCAGTGTCCCCAGTGGTGGCAGCCGAGGTTAGGTACGGGACACCAGTGGAAACCAGGAAATCAGGAGAAAACCTTGGAAACCAGGAGGCTGACCACGGCACACAGCAGTTCCCACTCAGCTACAGGCCTGACACAGAGCTCCCTGGGGCTTTGCAGGGACTCAACTCACAGCAAATACAGAGACAAGTCACCAGAGGACTGAAGTCAACTTTCTTAAGGTCTCATGTGAACATGAGTCATACTTATCAGACACTCAACAGGGAAGGGCTTTCTGAAACAAAAACTGGAGGAAAGGGAAATCTACCTATATTAAATTCTCTCTCTCTAAACACGCACACACGAATTAAACTTAAATGCAAACAACAGATTAGGAATAGCACAAACCCAGTGGGTAGCAGTTTTAAAACAGCTAAAACAGCCATGATTAGTAAAAACACCATGTTACTGCCTGCGGTGGGTGGAATGCTGCCCCCTCCCCCCAAAAATCTCTCCTACATAGCCTCATCTCTAGGACCTATGAATGTTGTCTTATATTTGGAAAAAGAGTCTCTGCAGATGCAATTAAATTAAGGATATTGAGATGAAGATATTCCTGGATTATCCGAAGGTCCCTAAATCTTTTGACAAGTGTCCTTGTAAGAGACACCCGGGGAGACAGAGAGGAGGCAATGTGACCAGCAGAGACTGCAGCGACACAAGCCAAGGGATACCTGAAGCCCCCAGAAGCTGGAAGCTGCAGAGAATGGTGTCTCCCCTAAAGCCATACCAAGCCACACGGCCCCCTACAGGACTGTTGACTTCTAGCCTCCAGAACTCTAAGAGAATAAACTTCGGGTGCTCTGTGTTAAGCCAACATGTTTACAGTAATTCGTTCAAGCAGCCACAGAAAGCTGATATTCTCCTCCCTGCAACGAATAACAGAATGGGTGAAGAACCTGCAATTCCATCATTCATTCCAAATATTGGCTGACAACAACTACTATGAAACGCCACATGAATTCTAGGGACTCGGAGATGAGCCAAACGGACACAGGGCTGTGTGTCACAGAGCTTGTCCCCATGGCTCTCGCCTGGCCTGGAAATGAGGCTGGCCATGTGCAGAAATACCCACTCAGCCAGTGCCCTTTCCAGCTGCTACCAGCCCATGATAGGACCAGTAGACACAAGGACGTACCGAGTCCCCATCCCCCTCAGGACGATGTGCTGGGCACACTTCTTGTCAGAGGGAGGAAGCACAAACCCCAAACTTTTGGCCTGCCCACTTGCCAGCTCAGAAGTTGCAACTCACAGAAGGGTCCTGCTGATCTAACCAACACACTTCTAGCTTTTTAAAAAAGTCAGATTTTTACCATACATTTCCTGGCTCCTAAGCCAACATTCCCTTAACAGCGAGGTAAAATGGAGCCTCACACACCCTAACTGGTTTTTCCAGTGTCCTCCACCTTCTTCCTTTCCTTCCAAGGAAAAATGTAGCCAGCTCCAGCATGAGGCCCAAGGCCCAAGTGCTCACCACCGTGGGTTTATGGGTGACCCAGAGCCCAATTAATACTGATCCGCAGCTCTGCAGGGCAACCCCAGCTCATGCTAACCGAAGGCTCCTCCTGCCCCGTCCAGGGCACTTTCTTGAGCTTGAATACAGAGTCTGGAATCAGTGCTAGTTAAGTGGGGTCCTAGGCCAGGGGCTAGGCCTCTACCTGCTGTGGAGACCTGACCCATGTGCTTCCTCACTGCCTCTGCCACCACCTGTCCTTGTCCCTTCTTCCTGTGTGCACACATTCTGGAGCCCCTCCCTCCCTGCCTGCCTCGAAGCCAACACTGCTAGGGCCAGGCTCACCTCCCCAAGCCAAGCTCTCACACAGGGTGGTGCCATCAGAAGGCCATGGTCCCTGCTCACACACACTGATGAGCAAGGTCACAAAAGTAGAACTGACCCGGGGCACAGGGGCACCTCTCTGCTCGGCCAGCATCATTGTGGGACATGGGTGGGAGCTACGGAGAGTGGGCTCTGGGAAGGCAGAGTATGTCTGTTTTGCTCACCACTGCACTGTTGACACACAGCAGGGATCACCAAGTGTGCAAACATGATTTCATATTCTTTACCATGCTGTTCTGTGCTACGACCATAGGGTTTGCAAACCTAAGACCCAGTCTCGCCTTCAAAGGCAGCAGTCTTCTGGAGTGTACCATACCACACAGGAAAAGCACTTACATAGGGCAGAATTTGGAAAATCTGTCTAAGAGACAACAAAGATCCAAAGTTGGGCAACACTCACAGAGAATGGGGAGGGAGGAAGGGTGACAAAGGTTTGAATCAGGAGATAACACTGGAGATGGACTTTGAAGAGTGTGCAGGACTTCTGTAGTGGAGGGGATGAATGAATGAGCAAGTAATCCCAAGCAAAGCTGAGGCAAGGTGGTGGGAGGGGAAAGGTGTGCCTCTGGGGAGCAAGAAGTAGCAGCTTCCATTCACTGGGTGCTTACATAATGACAAAGTCCTGCTTGGGATTAACTCACCCGAACCTAAGCATAAGTCAATAGCTCGAGACCGGGGCAGCTTAGGATCTTGAGCCCCACTGAGAGGAGGCAGCAGAGGGTCAGAGAGATTACCTGACTTGGGCAAGCTTGCACAACTAGGAAGTGGCAGAACCAGGAGCAGAAGCAGTCTTGTTTCCAGAACCTACCACATCCTCCCTGGTGGGGATCATTTGCTGGGCAGAGGCCATCTGTAGTTCTACATGATTCTCTCTCAGCTTCTCTCTTCTGGACGGTATCAGGTTCCCTCCTGCATCCGGACCGAAGTTTGCCTACAGCATCTCATGGCATAGAAACCTTCCCCATCCCAGGACAAGACAGGTTTTTTCCATCCTTCCTTCTTCTCTCTAGGATTAGCAATAAAGAGGATTCCTAGGATGACCAAGTCAACCTGCTGGGTGATCCTGGATATAGCATGTTGGCTCCATTTCCTAGTCTGTAAAATATTCTGTTTCCCAGGGCACCTGACTGGCTCAGTCGGTTAAGCATCTGCCATCGGTTCAGGTCATGATCCTGGGGGTCCTGGGATTGAGCCCTGTGTCAGGTTCCCGGCTCAGCAGGGAGTCTGCTTCTCTCTCCCCCTCTACCCATCCCTCTCATGTTCTTTCTCTCTCAAATAAATAAATAAAATCTTTTTTAAAATCCTATAAAAAATAGTCTGGTTCCCACATTCTAAATAACAATCTAGAAAGAAAAACAGGTACTACAGGAAATGAGAGGAAAAGCCTGTTCTAATTTTCCGAATTGTAAAATGTGGCAAAAGAAAAAGAAGTTGGTCCTAAAATCAAGGAAATAGGGTAGTAAGTAACTGTCATTTAGTTTCTGTACAGTTACATGTCAGAACACGGCCAAGCACGGCCCATTATGTGCACTATTTGATTTAGTTCTCTCAAGAGTCCTAGGAGGAAAACCCATTACTGCCCCCATATTACTGATGAGGAAATTAAAATTAAGGTCCAGAGAGGTTAAGAATCTTGGTGAAGATCCAAGGTGGGTCTGTCAGACTCCAAAGACTGATCACTTAGCCGAACTACTGCATTCAATCTCCAGCGGCTTCACAGGTCCCTTCTGATTCTAACATTCAAGGAGTCCGTCTATTATGCTTCCTCCTGAATTTCTTCATATTCATCTTATTTTATGACCCTCCCTCTCCCACACACTTAAAGCCTCCCCTTCCCTTACAGCTCAAATCCCAAATCCCTTCTGACCTCAGTTCCCAGAAGTCAGATGCACCTTCGAAGTCTGGTGGACACAGAACCACACTGTGGCATAAGGTCTGGTACTTGTTTCCTCATGATCAACTAGTCTCCCTGAAA